TTATTTCGGTCAAAGGGCCGATGCCCCTTCAAGGTCTCAGGCGCGATATCACGAATGCATTTCTGGGCGAGGGAATGAAAACCTCCCTTCCTAGACCGTGACTCTGCTGATAGGAACGAAGGCCATTTTAAATGAGAACAATATATACAGTGAGGGAAAAAAGTATTTGATCTCCTGCTGATTTTGTACGTTTGCCCACTGACAAAGAAATGATCACTCTATAATTTTAACGGTATGTTTATTTGAACAGTGAGAGACAGAATAACAACAAAAAATCCAGAAAAAACGCATTTCAAAAATGTTATAAATTGATTTGCATTTTAATGAGGGAAATAAGTATTTAACCCCTCTGCAAAACATGACTTAGTACTTAGTAGCAAAACAATTGTTGGCAATCATAGAGGTCAGACGTTTCTTGTAGTTGGCCACCAGGTTTGCACACATCTCAGGAGGGATTTTGTCCCACTCCTCTTTGCAGATCTTCTCCAAGTCATTAAGGTTTCGAGGCTGACGTTTGGAAACTCGACCCTTCAGCTCCCTCCACAGATTTTCTATCGGATTAAGGTCTGGAGACTGGCTAGGCCACTCCAGGACCTTAATGTGCTTCTTCTTGAGCCACTCCTTTGTTGCCTTGGCCGTGTGTTTTGGGTCATTGTCATGCTGGAATACCCATCCACGACCCATTTTCAATGCCCTGGCTGAGAGAAGGAGGTTCTCACCCAAGATTTGACGGTGCATGGCCCCGTCCATCGTCCCTTTGATGCGGTGAAGTTGTCCTGTCCCCTGAGCAGAAAAACACCCCCAAAGCATGTTTTCACCTCCATGTTTGACGGTGGGGATGGTGTTCTTGGGGTAATAGGCAGCATTCTTCCTCCTCCAAACACGGCGAGTTGAGTTGATGCCAAATAGCTCCATTTTGGTCTCATCTGACCACAACACTTTCACCCAGTTGTCCTCTGAATCATTCAGATGTTAATTGGCAAACCTCGGACGGGCATGTATATGTGCTTTCTTGAGCAGGGGGACCTTGGGGCGCTGCAGGATTTCAGTCCTTCACGGCATAGTGGGTTACCAATTGTTTTCTTGGTGACTATGGTCCCAGCTGCCTTGAGATAATTGACAAGATCCTCCCGTGTAGTTCTGGGCTGATTCCTCACCGTTCTCATGATCATTGCAACTCCACGAGGTGAGATCTTGCATGGAGCCCCAGGCCGAGGGAGATTGACAGTTCTTTTGTGTTTCTTCCATTTGCAAATAATCGCACCAACTGTTGTCACCTTCTCACCAAGCTGCTTGGCAATGGTCTTGTAGCCCATTCCAGCCTTGTGTAGGTCTACAATCTTGTCCCTGACATCCTTTGAGAGCTAATTGGTCTTGGCCATGGTGGAGAGTTTGGAATCTGATTGATTGTTTGCGTCTGTGGACAGGTGTCTTTTATACAGGTACCAAGCTGAGATTAGGAGCACTCCCTTTAAGAGTGTGCTCCTAATCTCAGCTCGTTACCTATATAAAAGACACCTGGGAGCCAGAAATCTTTCTGATTGAGAGGGGGTCAAATACTTATTTCCCTCATTAAAATACACATCAATTTATAACATTTTTGACATGCGTTTTTTGGATTTTGTTGTTGTTATTCTGTCTCTCACTGTTCAAATAAACCTGCTATTAAAATTATAGACTGATCATTTCTTTGTCAGTGGACAAACGTACAAAATCAGCAGGGGATCAAATACTTTTTTTCCCTCACTGTAGTATAAACGAGCGCAACTCTAAGACACTTGTGATAAACAATGATAAATATAATATTAATTACGCATTCATTATTCATATTCTTGGTTCTTTCGGTAAAGTCACGTGGAAGGGAAACAATAAAATAATACAAATATAAAACAATAAAATTCTCCTGACGTTTCGACTGCAACACAAGCAATCATCATCAGGTGTGAAAACCACAACAAGAAAATTTGAAAAGAGTGGCGGTTATTTTTAACGTTAGCACCACGGAGAGAGATTTGACAGTTTGTTCAGATGGACGAGCCCATCTATGTTCGGAAAAGAGAAGGGGGGAGACGAAAAATAATGGATGCGTTCTGAAAGCGTAATCAATCAATTAAGACCCGAAATGGTTGATCAAATCCTTCCAATGATTGCTAAACCAGAATCCATCTTTTCGGTGGAAATTGTCTCTGTGTTTGTATATGTGGATAGCCTCATGAACGAATCTCTCATGGTAGCCAGATGGCTTGCAAAGAACCTCTGTCTTGGAGAAGTCAATGTCATGTAAACCTACTGAATTATAACAGTGATCTGCCACGGCCGAGGTGTTGGTCCTACCGTGTTTAAGGTCTGCTTTGTGTTCACGAATGCGGTCCGAGACATGTCGTTTGGTTTCTCCAATGTCACTACTACCACAGAGGCAACTTAGTTTGTAGACACCAGGGTACTGTATGTCCGGAATCACATATTTTGCAGACGGAACCAGATCACGGATTTTATGTAATGTGTTGAAACGGACCTGGATCTTGTGTTTATTCAAGATTTTGGAGATATTTTTTTGTGATCCCCGCAATGTAGGGTAAAGTGATGGTTTTGAAAGGCTCCTCAAGAGGGTCCTTCTTCATGGTTTGAGTGATAGCTTTGCGGATTGTATAGTCGGAGTAACCATTAGCCTTAAGAGCTTGGTGTACGTGCTTGAGTTCACTGGCTATATGTTCCTGGTCGGATATGCATTGGGCTCTATGAATCCCTGCAGTCACGAAAGATTATGAATCCATGCAGTCACGAAAGCTTTAAATCAAAATTTACATATTAATTATCATAAAGGTGTACACACCGAATAGTCCAGGGTGGGTGGGTCGCGCGCACAAGACTATTCAGAATCAGAATATTAATTTTCAAAATATTTATTTATCCTGGAAGACTCCAATGACCTATAAAGCTCATCGGAACAGGTGGACCAGGTGAGATCCCCCTTGCTGTCATTGGCAATTTCTGCAAATTTTTGTGTGCGTAACTATGCAGTGTAATACAACAGCATCAGCGATGGTAGCAGGAGCAATATTTTATTTTTTTCCATGCGACTGCATCATCCTGACGCTGTACATGAGGGATTGCGAGCTGGCTAAGGGCTCGCAGTACAGAAATCGAGTCTTGCAATCCATCTGTGCGGAGCTATGAGTGCGAAACGGCATAGCAGCGGTAGCGCGTTCGCCGGCATGTTGCAGGGATTGGCGGTTCGACACCAGCGGTCACCCTGGTTAGTGCTGCGGATGTATTAACCATAACACGGAGGCGCCGTCTGGTTCAAAAGCGGAAGTGCAATATCCAATGGCGTCGTAATGCAATATTACGTCAAATTTGGCTAACTTGAAATATTCCCCCGCGAATTATACAATGGAGATATAAAAAAAACACCACGTAGCAAGCATCTCCCGCAGGGAGGCTGGGCCAATGCCTGGCTCGGGTTCGTCTGGTTTTCTCGCCAACGCGAGCGAGATACATGCCTCCCTCTCGTTCGCGAACTTTCTGAAGTTTTTTTTTATCGCTGCGCTTTGGTTTTAACTCCCCAATTCCCAAACGCTCATTGGTCGACTTGGTCTGAAATCAATACCTGGTACGATCTGTAAAACATCGATACAGTACTGGAGACGGCCAAGGACGGTCGGGCGTGGTGCTAGACATCATCGCACGAGAGACGCACCCCGAGGCAATCCCACGCCACGTATTTTACAATGAAAATGACGCTGTAATCAACGGCTGCACGCAAATGTACGTTCGTAATAATCCACGTGAACGCACATCTATCCATTTTGAGCACTTAAAAGATCAACGCGATAAATACAACTCTACAGAATTAGTCTTTAACAAGCCGTGCGTTCACCAGCATGAAGGCTTTTATATACAATTGTAAAAAAAAAATGTTTTACAAATTAATCCTTCTAATGTAGAGTCCTTGGACAAATGTGTCGTTTGCCCTCCACCACACCCACCAAGGCGAGCCCTGCTCGTCTCAGCGAGGTTGTGCGCCGCCTGCCGACCCCGATGCGCTACCACGCTTCGTAACGAGCACAATCCTCACGTCGTGTTACAACAACCCGAGTTGGCCTTCAACATAGAACACAGTTTAAAATCCTATTGTCAACTTACAAAGCGGCGAACCATCTTGCCCCAGCCTACAATCATTGCCATGCTGCAACCTAGAGGTCTGGGGCGTGATGCAAATCTTCTCAGTGCATTCCCAGGTCGACGTTTCGGTCTACGGGTCACCGATATATTTTCCCCGTGCAGCCCCCAGGCCATGGAACGCTCTTCCACGTGACACCAGGAATCTCTCCGAGTCCGTGGACACTTTTAAAATGCGCCTTAAAACCTATTTATACGCTTCCGCTTATTAAACATTTGAGTTCATTTAGTAAATGATTCCTTAAGATTTATAGATATATTTTTTATGCAGAGTAGCTGCTGCTGCTGCGTCCTTGTACAGCGCTTTTGAGATCCTTGATGAACATCCGCCGTATGAATGATTATTATTATTGTTGTGTGTGGAGGTGTCCGCTCGTGGCCACGGGATGAAGGTTCGTGCGGATTTCCCATCATTCCTGCGGTCAAATGGGGGAGCAGAAAACTGCAGCGAGTGGCTGTGAGCGAAGTGGAACATCGTCGATTTGAATGCGGATATGATCAGAGAGGGACATTTGTCAGCAATTGATCGTGGTTGTTGGGTCGACCATACTTCACCACGCCAGCCAACGCGACGGGGCTGCACTGTCACGATGCCCTCTGCTGCCAATCGAGCGCGGCACGAACATTGGGCTCGTGCACGATTACGATTCTCATTGGGCGCGCGAACTTAAATTAGAATCGACTCAACTCGCTGTACCTCTGAACACGGTAAGCGGACTCGACAAATCGATTCGGACTGCGAGGATCGACTCTCGCGACGCTAGGCGGGGGTCAGCGGGGGGGGAGGGGTGGAAGTTTACGTTGGAATCGATTCCTGCGTTACAATACGAATCGATCCTCCCACAGAGCCATCGTCAGGGCCACGTGGAACGGTGCTGCGATGGAGGCGGCGGCGGCGCCTCCGAGTCCCCGGGGACGCGCAGAGGGAGCGGGGCACGAGCGAGGGGGGAGGAAGGTCCGCGAGACGAAGGCCGACAGGAAGGGGGAGAGGCGGCGGCGCAAGGCTCGCCTCACGCTGCTGAGGCTGGACGGCGTCCAGACCGTAGACCACGCCACGCAGGTCTGACGAGACGGACTCATCAGCTAGGGTTATATTTATCTGCACGTCGTGCCGTCGTTACGCTACACGAATGCTCAGAGCTACTGTACGAGGGAAATATAAACTCGCGGGACGCACGCGCAAGGCTTCCAGGGAGGCTCCCGAACGAGGCGGCCGTGTCAGGGTCCGTGTGGAGGGCGGCGCGCGGACCCCGCGGGACTCGGAATTCGCCGCCCTCTGAGCCAAACAAGCTGGGGGCAGTCACTCCACGTGATAAATAAAACAAAGCAATAACCCTTGGGCTACTAATGATCTCGAAGCGACACGTCGGAGAGATAGAGCGGGTAGGGGGACCCCCCCCCCCCCTATCTAGGAGTGCCAATAGGATTTGTCCCGACTCAACGCGCAGTGCGGCTGACGATGAGACACTGGATGTCGAAACCAAGTTAAATGCGTTGTGCATGCGTTATGGCTTGGAAGTCGTGGATTTATTCAGCGGTGGGATAGCCCCAGTCGAATCGGGGTTATTTACACACACACATTTCCATGACCAAATTGAACCCATTTACAACTTGTAATGTTAATTTTTGACTTGTAACTGCATGAATTCATATGCTATGGTTTCGGTAAAGTCACGTAGATAGAAAAAATAATAATGAACAAATAATAAAAATGAAAACAAAGTGAATAAAAAATAATATAAATTTGACGTTTCGATCGCAACACAAGCGGTCGTCATGATCACCTGTTCCTGATTATGGCCGCTTGTGTTGCGATCGAAACGTCGTCGTGATATTTTTTATTATTTTCACTTTATTTTCATTTTTACTATTTTATTTTTTCGATCTACGTGACTTTACCGAAAGAACCATAGAATCTGAACTTGTAATGTTACTTAACCCTTGGAGTGCGATATTAATGTTATACATTTGTTTCCATGCCCACCCCCAAAAAAATCATCATGCGCAGCACATCGTACATTTGAGCACATTCTGTCAAGGACGGAGAAGCTCGCCGTTCGAGCCCCCACCGTCCACACCATATTTAAAATAAGCAACCTGTGACACGAATCGACAAGGAGTGGGGCCACGCGTGCCGCAGTGCTGGTCGAAATTTGATCGATTTCTCAAACTTCATCGGCAGAGCCGCGTAAAATCCATCACCCCCCTCCACCGCCCTCTCCCACACGCAGGTTTGGGTACCGCTTTCACCTTTTGCCACACAGGGGTACATCTGCCACGGGGGTGTCCCCCCTGCCGAAGGGCACCCACGGGGAGGAGGTAGTGCTAGGGGAGGCGCGTTATACAAACATGCAAATGTGACGCATGGTATCTGTGCGGCGCTCTTCCACACACACCGGGCAGCACCTGTTGATCGCCAACGGGGGCCTGGGGAACGGCGTGGCCCGCACGACCCTGCTGGAGCTGATGGGCGCGCAGGGCCACCTGGAGGCGCTGGAGACGCCGCGGGGGCGGCCGTACGCCTTCGCCTCCTTCTCCCGCGTGCACGAGGCGGAGGGGGCACGGCGCAAGCTCGACGGCTGCTCGGTCTCGTCGGCCGTCGCGACCACCCCCGTCACACTCCACCTGTGCCACGTGGAGAGAGGTGGGTTTGCATAGCCGTCGACCCACACGGTTTAAACCCCGTTTTCTTGCACGGGGGAAATTTGAGTTCTCGGGTCCGTACGGCGTACAGCCGTTTCAGTGCGGGACTTTGTAGGATGAACGTTGAGATTCATCGGGGGCACGGGGTGACCAATAAGGTCTGAGTTGGTCTGTAATAAGCTAGGCACTGATAAGGGGTTGACAGATATGGGGTTGATTCCTAGCATTCAGCATCGTCATCCACCATGATCAGTCCACAGCTGAATGGAAGACTTAAGTCGTCTCACCATCTAAATTAAAGTTTTTTTTTTAACCAGATAATGTCCACCAAGCTATTCATTATTTTTTCAGAAGCGACCTAACCCAACGACGTGGCTTATCACGTGGGAATTTATAGCAGTTGCCAGAACGCATGCTTCTAAATATGGAGGGGAAACCCAAAGGATCTGGAGAAAATTTCACGCGACCATGGGGAGAACATGCAAACTCCAAATAGGCCACCAGGGTTGGAATATAACCCACGGCCTTGCGCATACCAGGCAAGGCAGTTAACATCTCACCACCACGGTGTAATATTCCACCATGAGCCAAGGTCACTGCTTAATTTCCATGGTGGAGGTCCTCTCAAGCACATTCTAACCGTCGCTGCCACTATTATCCTTTACCACTGGCAATCATCCATTCGAATGACACGTCCTCCCTAAGCCCATATTTTTTTCTTTAAAAAATCAAGATTAGGTTCTCATCCAGTCATCATATACAACCTTAGCCCCACCACAGGGTCCAAACCATAACTCATATGTTTACTTCATACTCACACCAATTGTATGGAGTCTAAATGGTAACCCTAATGACCATGGAATGGGCGTTGAGGCATAGGGTAATCGTTTGGTGCACAGGGGTTTGAAAGTTATAGCAAAAAAGCAAAAGCAACTGGATAAAATTGGCTATTAGTTAGACAGAGATAAACACCTATTGAAGATATTCAGTAAAGTAAATATATTGGCAGCCAACAGAACATTTCAGAGAAGATACCCACAGAGGATCTGGAGCCATCAAATCAGCTTGTATGCAGGTGGATTATTACAATGCAGGACAAAGATATTGGCTTGGGGAGGTCATCCTACAGAGGATTGATTTTTGTTGACAAATGGAGACATTTGAAAAAGCTTTTTAGTGTGAAATAAAGATAAGTGACTTTATTCAAGCTAAAAGTTCAGTTGTGAATGTTAGCGTTTGCACAACTCAGAATGTTTGGCTTCCTCACATGCTACTGTAGCGATGTTGATGGGCTGTGTACACTTACCTGCAGGGGCAGTCGTTATATCCCTAGCCCGAAAGCAGGAGGGGGCTGCGGGGTGTCCTGGGATCCCCCGGAGCCCCCTCTGGAATTCTGGAAGGTAGGCGGAGCCAGGGCTGACGCACCGGTGCTGGGTATAAAAGCCAGACCCTGGGAAGGGTCCGGGGCCAGTCCAAGACAGAAGACCAGCTAGTTAGTACCCTGGGACCCCTAGCCCTGCTGCCCTTGTAAGGGCCGGGACTGTGTGGCCCAGTAGTGAGACCCTGGGAACCCCCGGCCCAACGTCCTTGTACAGGCCGGGTCCGAGTGGGCCAGTGGTCGGAAACCGCACCTTGGCTGGGTCGGGTCAGTGCAGCCTCCCTGAGGGCACCCGTAGCCGGAGGACCCAGAGCTGTAGCCCCGTGCCAGGGCACGTTAGCGCCGAGGCAGAACCTCCCCAGGCAGTAGTTAGAGGGGCCGTTGCCCTGTGTGAGACTGGGACTGTACTGCCGAGTATTTGTATTGAATGAAGTGTCGCCTTTAAAGATCCGTCTCCGACGTCACTAGAGCCCACTACACTACCCTGAGACGAGGTTGTTCTTAGCCAGTGACATTGCAGCACCCCACTAATGTTTGGTGTCGTTTCTATCATGGAACTTGGAGCTCATCCTCTAGTCCTTATCCTTCAACCCCATCTCACCCATTCTCCAAACGACTTGGATATGTCATTAGACCTCCTTTGCCAGTACCAAAATATAATAATAGGGTTTTTCCCCTTTTTTCTGGCAACAAAAGTGAATCCTTTTTACAAGGATTCATGTCTGCATTAACTACAATACCTGCAGTCAAAATGCAAACAAAAAAACACTGATAATATATGCATTGTCCTTGAAACTGATTGGTCCACACCAAGGGACGGCTTTCTTTTGAGCCTCGACCCAATTGGTGCTCGACCAGATGACGCCAAAAGGCATACAGCTCAAAGGCAATGCACTATCAAAGTAATGAGGGCTCGGGGTGAGCATCTACATCATTAGATCTCCTTTGCCAGTACCAAAATATAATAATAGGGTTTTTCCCCTTTTTTCTGGCAACAAAACTGAAACCTTTTTACAAGGATTCATGTCTGCAATAACCACAATACCTGCAGTCAAAATGCAAAACCCTATTATATTTTGGTACTGGCAAAGGAGGTCTAATGATGTAGATGCTCACCCCGAGCCCTCATTACTTTGATAATGCATTGTCTTTGAGCTGTACACCTTTTGGCGTCATCTGGTCGAGCACCAATTGGGTCGAGGCTCAAAAGAAAGCCGTCCCTTGGTGTGGACCAATCAGTTTCAAGGACAATGCATATATTATCATAGTATGTTTTTTGTTTGCATTTTGACTGCAGTTATTGTGGTTAATGCAGACATGAATCCATGTAAAAAGGTTTCAGTTTTGTTGCCAGAAAAAAGGGGAAAAACCCTATTATTAAACTTGGATATGGTTTTATTTTTGCTCAAGTGCGATGAATTAGATGCACGTTAAAGAGCATTCTCATCTTGCCTCAGTTCCCATTCAGGAAAGCTGCACAGAGGCCCTGCCACCAGGCCTGAAGCTCATCCCAGACTGCGTTTCATCCGAGTACGAGGACCAGCTGCTGAGCTGCCTTGACTGGAGCAGACGGCAGCCAACAGGTTTGCGACTTGAGGTCTTTACGTGTGGGTTGGAGCGGTTGCACAGCAATTACCAACTTTAGCTCCTGCTCACAGCCAACCATGGCATGTAATATTTCAACTGGCACCAGCCAACGTGGTGAAGTTGCGTCACAAAGATTTGTAGCCGGTAGCCGGCATCATTTGTGACCCAACTTGGTGACATGTGCATGCATGATGGATGGAATCACAATGGCACAATGCTAGCTTTTCACTTGTGAATTGCACATTGTAGGGGTCTATTTTATAGGCAGGCCAATCAGAGTTTAACAGGTAGGAAAGTTTTCCAGCGAGCACAAGAGAATTAAGCCAAACTACTCAGGAGAAATTACACCCGGGCATACTTGCGCCTATGCCCTAGTGTATTTCTGAACCCACACACTTCGAAACAAAGGTTGTCAGCCACCACTAGACACCAGGGCCGTTTGGGAGTCTCCCAGATATGGGAAAGTCCCCTCTAGCTAAAGCAATTAGACAAACTGGGGTTTTACATACACACACAACACAACATTTCACCCCACCCTTAGTTTGACTTGTAGGTTCTGGACATCTGTGTGGAGTCCTAGTGCTCACTTCTCTCCAACCAGAACCCCGACACAAGGGCTTCCACTGGTCACGTGGGCCTCACGCACCACAGCCAGTCCACCAGATGGCGCCCCCCCCTCATCAGAATCCACTGAATGCCAGAAACAAAAACACGACACCATCCAGTAGTAGAGCACACCAATGTTTCACCCCACACAGACAGGTTCCATTTCGAGTTCAGTAGCAGGAATTCCTCCTTGCCACAGGGTAGTACTCGGGCCAGCTTTCTCAACCCTGATCCTACCCTTGATCATACTGCAGTCTTGACGGCCAATAAACCACAGGGAATCGATTACTCCAAGGATCGCGATGTACAGCATGTTAAACTACACTATTGAACCACAGTATAAGATTCTACTCACAGGCTAAAGCTTGGCAGTTCCCAATGGCCTGTTGAGTCAACTCTGCTCACCTTCAGCCCCCACTACTGCAGTGCCACCAAGTGGTTACACAGCATGCCTCCATTCCAGATAATTTGTTGATGTCCCCAGGTCCTCTGCTCAGAGCTCACCTTTTATACCCAGCCACTTGCCAATGGGAGAGCTGCTCCATCCCACATAAATTACAACTTTGCCCACGATTTCAACAAGCAGCTTCTTGATTTGAAAAGCATGCCAAATTGACCAATAGTGAGAAAGCAATTATAATGACCTGCTGGGGGTTGAGTTATTATTCCCGCCACAAGTGCTCGGCCCACGAATCATGAACGAAGTGGTGGTTCTGCTTCTCAATGAGTGGTAATCCACCTCCCCAAACATGCAAGTTAAGCCTATGACAGCCCAGTCACACCTAACTGAACACTGCGCATGCATCTAATCAATAGTTGTTCCAAGCACGAGATAATGCTCAATCATTGCAGCCATCCCAGTGTCAGCATGAATGAAAACCGAACTTCCCTTGCAGTAGTTGCCGCGTGCCACGTCACAGAAGTACGGTCAAATCACGATCATGGCGTGAGGATGCCATATCCACGCAGCGGCTTTTGGCTAGCCATCGAACAAAGCCGCATCGCGTGCTTTCAGAGGTCGTATGGAACACTCTTCCTCCCGATATTAGGAAGCCACCGGAGCTTTGCACTTTTAAATCTTGACTGAAAACTAATTTCTCTACAACCGCTTTTTGTGTTTAGTTTGTTGCTCATCCCTGTACCTCCGATTAGCACGGTTGGCTACGTATGGTGCGAAAGAAGTTAAGCATACATAAAAAAAATGGGCCATTTTATTTTAGTGTAGTTGTTACAAAAGTAGCATATGTGAATCCGGTGCGACACTGAATTTATTCAAAAAAAAATTAACATTTGTTTTCCTCTTGCTTATGTGTGGCTTGTTCAGCCCAGCAGTCTCTTAAGCATAGGTGCGTCCAGCACTTTGGATATGAATTCCGCTACGATAACAACAATGTTGACAAGGATAAGCCGCTGGATAGAGGTGAGGATCCTCTTAATTTCGGGGGGTGGGGGGGGGAATTCACCAGCTCATAATTTACAGACAGATTTGTGAAATGACCTGCTTGTTGTGTGTCGCAGGTTGTTGTTAAGATAGAGCGTAAACATTTAACCTGTTGGAGTCTTTCGTCATTGTAGGCTAGTGTTTACAAACGTGTCAAAAGTATTGGTGTTGAAAACATTGCCTAACTCACATTGTCAAAAGTCACAGTCTGCTGCCTACCCTCACCGCCTCCCCTAGAGCATTGCTGTATAATATGCTTTTCAGCCAAATGGCAGTCTATTTAATGATGATGCTGAAGTATGTTCGTTCTTTGTCCCCAGGTGTTCCAACTATGTGTGATGAACTCGTTGACAAGTGCCTATCGGCCGGTTACATTCAGCATCGGCCCAATCAGCTGACAGTAAACCAGTACCAGCCCGGTCAAGGTTTGTGTCTAACTATTAACACTACCCATCGTAATTCAATCTTAACATTAATATGCAGTCCTGGATGAAGGATTCCCACATGTAACTTTGGACATAGGGATCATTTGCAATATACTTCATGCGAGTCGCTATGGGTTGGTGAAGGGGAGGTGTGTGATGGTGAGGTGTTGCTCGTGATATGATCCCACGTTTCTAGGTTCATAGCGCAGTGCACTAATCACTGTGCCACCGCTCCGCCCCACCGATAGTAATAGCGGTACCATACATACATTCATTCAACTGCCCTGTTATCAGTGGAAAGTATATAATATACATTTAGAATAAAAAATAATTTTAGACCGTAATAATTATCACTTTATGTAGCGTCATGCATGCAAATTGCATTTCGAAACGTTGGATATCTGCATCTAGACCAGATTAACTTTAAATATGGCACGAGAAATGCCACAGAGGAACAAAACATAAATGAGATGAAGGCTACGGACACAAACACAACACGGAGCAGGCGGTGTGACTACTCATGTCAGTATTTACGTCTCACAATTTGGTGTGGTAAAGCACACTCCTTTTAAATGCTTCGCTTGAATGTTTGCGTTATTGTTTTGTTCACCCCATGCAGGGATCCCCCCGCACATTGACACACATTCTGCCTTTGAGGACGGCATCATGTCTCTGAGCTTGGGAGCCTCGGTAAGACTTGGCACAAATCAAACGCCACTCAAGTACATCAATATATTTTCAGGGAATTAGCATCACAGGCATTCATCATTTAAAAAGAAAATAACTAACAATATTTATCATTTACAGCCTGTCATCGAATGGCTTAAAGCCTTCTCTCACCATATCAGTTATGGGAGGGCTGTTTGATGAAACCGCACTGTGCAGGGCAGCGTGGGATGGTGAAAGTGGGGTTGGGCCCATTTCTGGTTCGGATATCACTCGCCACCGATGTGATCTGTGGTCGAGAATCGAACTCAGGTGGTCGGGTTCACAGTGCAGTATATGAATCACCGCACCGCATCTATTCTGATACAATATCCAACAATCCATTGGAAGAAACTCTCTCGTCGTGCTATGCCGCCGTTGTGACTCGTGACGAAAGACCGCCGTGTTGTTCCCCGGTAACCCGTGACCGCGCCGCAGACGGTGATGGAGTTCCGGCACCCCGATGGCAGCCACGCTTCTGTGCTGCTTCCTCGCCGCAGCCTGCTGGTGATGGCGGGCGAGTCGCGCTACCTCTGGAGCCACGGGTACCACCCTCCGCGCCACCAAGTCCACGCCGGCTCGCATTCGAACCCTGGGTTACGTGTCGCCCGCCTGGCCGTGGCACTGGCCACTCAGCACAGGCCGCAGCTCCAGGAAGCGATGGATTCTCTTGTTAATGCTGCTGTGCAGTAGCAGATCATCATAATCAGAATATTTATACTGGGGGAATTTTCACAGATCTCCAGTCGGAACGGGTTAGAACGTTACAACAACAAACAAGACATAAACACGATAGGAGTGCAAAGTATAGGAAAGATATGCAAATAAAACTGAAACATTTTCATCTTACCAGGTATAGCCCACTGAGGTATTAGCTAATTTTTAAGAGTGGCTTATCACATGTGGCTTATCAAAGTGGTTTTTCACGTGGAAATTTATAGCAGCAAAATAATCTCAATGATGTAAATGCATGTTACTAAATGTGGAGGAAAAAACTGGAGGATCCGGAGAAAATTCACGTGACCACGGGGAGAACATGTTACAAGCTCCAAACATACAGGCGTCAGAGTTGGGATCGAACCCACGACCTCCGGATGTCCTGGTCGCTCTGCAGCACACAAAACTGTAACAATTCACTCACCTCTTGTCCATCGACGATGTTATGAATTCGAGGACATGAGTGGAATCTTGTTTGTAGGTATCATATAATAATTTTTACTTCTTTTCTGCCTCCTTTATACAATTGTGCTTGCTCCATTAGCCTAAATGTAACGAACTTATCATTTGCACAGAAATTTCCATCAATCATAGATTCTCGCTCGCGTGATTTTCCGAATGTGAACGCAGAGATCGATTTTAATCGATGCACCATTACATGCTTACTCAAAGAGTAATATTTCACTCTCAAGAGAAGATGCTTGCAAAGCTTAGACAAAGTGAACCATCGACCTAAAGCTGGGTTTGCTTGTTGAATTATGAAGCTTCCCAAAAGGGAATTCCTGCCTCAATAGCTAAACATGCTTCTTTGACAGCAAAGCCACTCCATCAGTTTGTGCTAATCGTTACAATCCACAGATGCTATTCAAGAGCAAAGAGAGTGAGACTTGATTGATAAAGTTACAATGTCTAGGAGACCATTAAATCTTGAACTGCTTTACAATTCGATGTTCACAATTTGTTCCCATGTTTTGATTGAAGAATCTATTCTTTTTTAACTTTGCGGTAGTCAGCAGCAGAGGTCACAAATAAATTACGTACTAGATGAAAAAATCCGAATAGTTTCTTACACGTATGGTTCAATACACGTGTAAAAATGTACTACACGATGCACTTTTACACCTGTAAAGATAATGAACACTCGGTCCTCAAAATACTGGACTTATATTCAGGGATGGGCTGCCCAAACACATCTGCTATCTTCATGAAACCGTTTGTTTTTCCACGAGGACCAAGTTTAGCACGCTTATAGCTTGTACGTCTTATTTCTCCGTTTTTTTTCATATATATAAAAATATATATTTAAAAAAGTTAATTTAAAGCAATTCTGGAATGCATAAGCAAATGCTTGCAGCTATTTTCACTTCTTAAACATTTTTCTTCGGGTAACCCAAAACCTCCCGCTTATATGCCAGACAGCATCGGCGCGCATCATTTGGCAGACGCGCTGCAACTTGACAGGGAGGGGGGGAGGAGGGCGCCGCTCGGCGTGCGTGCGTGGGTTACGGCAGAGCAGCGACACCTTGCGTGTGCCGCGGTGGGCTTCCGGCACGCGCGACGCGCCTCCGCCTGTGACATCCCCGCCGCCTTTACCTTTCGCAGCATCACGCCCCGCAAGTTCGACGTGGTGCCGGCGCCGCCGCCGCCGCCCGGGGATGGCGCGGAGGGGCCGCAGGGGTCCACGCTGGCCCAGCGTGGGGTGCGGACGTCTTTCACGTTCCGCACCGTCCGGAGGGAGCCGTGCCGCTGCCGTGAGCTTCGTCTTATTTAGGCATTCATCTCCAACTGGATGTTTTTTTTTCCAGGTCGCCGCTAGACTAGTGTGGGAACATGACTGGTACCCATAGTCGCCGAGTGGGAGGTGGCGTGCCGGGCGTGGCCATATTTTTCCTGGTCGCAGACCAGCATGGACCAGACAGAAATTAAGCATTTGATGAATTTTGTGCATCGTTTGACTGCTACTTAGTTATCCCTAAGTGTAAATTGGAACAGAGTTTTATCTGCAAGATCTTTTCAGTGTAAATTGCTGCCAGGACAAAAAAGTAAATATAATAATTCTTCTCTTCACTACCTTAGGTTACCCTTCGGTCTGCGACAGCCAAGCTGGACAACAGAACCTGCAAACTCCCTCCTCGCGCAGTCCTATCAACGAACCGCTGCCCAGCACCGCAGGCTTGACCACCTCCAGCGCGACACACTTGGGCCCCTCGGAAGAGAGCCGCGGACCCGACCGGGTGTCGCGAGCGGTCGCGACTGAGCGCGTACAGGTGGCGGCGTTCTCGCATCCTGGCCGCTCGGTAGACGCGGAGGACGACGACGACGACGACGACGAGGAGGAGGAGGAGGGCGACGCGGCGCAGCGGCTGGAGACGGAGCACGTGCACCGCGTGTACGAGCAGATCGCGGACCACTTCAGCAGCACCCGCCACTCGCCCTGGCCTCGCGTCGCCGCCTTCGTGCGCGGCCTGCGGCCCGGCGCGCTCGTCTGCGACGTCGGCTGCGGCAACGGGAAGTACCTGGGCCTCGCCGAGGGATCGTACGTGGTGAGTCCGTCGTGGTGTGACCGGGGCAGGTGTGGGGAACTCGCCGGTCACCCGCCGGACACGGCCCCCCTCGACTTGGGTTCACGCGGCCCGCGGCCACGCAACGCTTGCCGCTTCGAACGGTCCCACAGACTAGATTTATACCTCGCTTCAAGCGTCTTAAATGCACGGATTGGGTACTGGAGGGGGATGGATGCTGCCGTGCTTCAACGGTTATCACACTGGACTCGCAATTCAGAGGTCGCTGGTTGGATCTCCCATTGTGGCAGTTGTAACAATTCGCAAGTTTATTAAATCCCCACCCCCCCCCCCCCTGCTGTGTCCACCCAGCAGTGTGAGTACACCACACTCAGTTGGCAGGAAGCCTACCGCTACGATACGGCCCATAAGCGATATTTATCCCTCACTCCAAGCATCTCGGCGGCACTAATCGGGCACTACAGGTGTGGGAACATTTTTGATTTGGCAACAACACCGCGTTAATAATTTTAGCTCGCGCTCAGGTACTTCTGTCACTGGCAGGGCCTCTGTATGCCTGGTCGACGCGCACATTGTTTTTCCAGCTATTGGATAAAGCTCGGTTGTGTTAATGCGGTCCGCTGTAACGGATTTGAAAGCGGTAGTCGAGCACTAGTCCAGAAAACGTCCCCCACCCTTGCTTTAGTGCGCGACCTGAGCACCCTCAGAAGGATTGGTGAGCAAGTTGGGAGATGTCCCAGTTGTGCTCAGTTTCAGAGTTTCTCTTTTTTTCACCGATGCTTCACATTGAGTGTCGAGGTGGAGCTGGTTTGTCGGGGTTTTTTTGAAGGAGTAGTCCTGAATGGCTTTAATGACAATGGATTATCGTCTGTGCAATGAAAATTGTTTGGCGACGTGTGGGGTGGACAACTGCTGATTAAAGGAGTGAACTTGCACTGAATGCAGGACAATCGCACAACTGTAGAACTGTACATGCATGCCTTGCCTGATTTATTATCCCACCTCGTACAAATTTGTTCTCAGGAAATCTGCTTCTGTTTCTGTCCACTTTTAGGGTTGTAATTCAACTCCTGCACCGATTGGGATTAAACGTTGTTCGATTGGAAAGTTTGGCATGGTTATGTCATTAGTGGTTGACAATATAACCTTGTGTCATATCCAAGATTGAGCCATTGTGTGACAGTGTAGCGGTGTCAATATTACACGTCCAGCCCATTTGTCAATCAACTGCTGGATGAGTGCCCTTGTAATGGCTTTCCTTGCCATATTACAGCGCTATAGAAGTTGTCATTATTATTATAGGGTTCTTTAATCATACTTCACCACACCGGTAAGCACAGGTTGTTGAATGCAGGGAGCATAGACTTGAAAAATAATGTACAAAAAATGTATAATCAATTCTTGAATTTGTATGTGTGGGTTCTTTTTTTATTTTATTTCATCCTGCGTGCGGGCGTATTAATGTTGTCGTCACCTGCGTGTGTGTGCACGTGGGTGCTTGAATGTTGTACCGTCTCCTTGGTGCTTAAGTGCATATTTTTACAATATCACCTATGGTGTGCATGCATATGTGTGCTTGTGTTCTCGGTGCTTTCCTTGATAGCTGCTCGCTCACAGCACTTGCCCCCACAGTCCGTTAACCCCATACCGGGGATCTTTGTCTTCGTTCTCTTTGTCCGTCGCCGACCGCCCGTGCTCAGTTTGGCTGCGACCGCAGCGCCGGGCTGGTGGGGATCTGCGAGCAGCGCGGCTTCCAGGCGCTGGTGTGCGACGCCCTCGCCTTGCCCGTCCGCACGGGGGCGTGCGACGCCTGCCTCTCCATCGCCATCATCCACCACCTCTCCACGGAGGTGCGCGCCACAGCGCCGACGCTCATCCGTCGCGCACCTCGGAAGGAGACGAGAGACCGCTAATACGCATGGCGATCGACGCCGGGTCTCTTGTCATTTATCAACGGGAGTAGCTGTTAGGGTTGTTGTTAATAAACGACCACCCGCTGTGTGGCTGGCTGTAGACACCTGTTTTATTGTGATTGGTAAACAATCACGTTTTTGTTTTATTTTGGACTATTAATATATTTACCGTTTGATTTTTAATGATGTGCGTGGAGCAGTGCCAATAATCTGGGCAATCTTTATAATTGTGGGGAGCGGTGACCAGTGGTTTGCGCAATGCACTATATGTTTCCTTGATTACCTGAATTAATATTCCTGGTCACTTCTGCTCAAGTAGCAAGTGGCATCTGAAGCTGTTTATGGGCTTTCGCAGGGTTAACTTGCTTAAACGAGTACCAGGTTCAGTCTGTAAACATCGGCACTGGCTAGATGAAGGGTGTGGTACGGGGTCCACTGTTAATAAATGCTCCATGACATCCCTTGCCTCTGCTCTCTATAGGACTCACCGGGGCGTCTTTGTTGTCATGCCCCTCTGTAGGAGCGAAGACTTAAAGCCTTGCGGGAGCTTCTGCGAATCCTTAGGCCTGGAGGGAGAGCCCTCGTTTACGTGTGGGCGCTGGAGCAGAAGTACCGCCAAGCGCGATCCAAGTACCTCAAGCCCAAGCACGGGGAGATGGTGGGAGGCGGCACTGGGCCGCAGCCTGTGGTTGGAGTCGGGGAGACGGCGGACCACGAGAAAGGGACGAGTTCCACTCCCACAAACGGCGTGAAATCCCCGTGTGATGACGTCGCTGAGTCCAGCCGGCCCGCGGAGCCCGCCCCTGCGCCACCGGAGCCTCGCAGGGCTCCGGGGATGCCGACTCGTGGCCACCTGCCCGTGCACACGAACCGCACGCCCTTCCGCGCGCAGGACGTGCTCGTGCCCTGGCACCACAGGCGGCAGGGCGAGACCCCGGGACAGCCCGAGCGGGCGTGCGAGGAGGCGCCCGTTTACCACCGGTACTACCACGTGTTCCGCGAGGGTGAACTCGAGGCTCTGTGTGCTCGGCTGGACGGCGCGCGAGTGCTGCTGAGCTACTACGATCAGGGAAACTGGTGTGTGGTCGTGGAAAAGTGCTGACATGTGCACAACTTGGTTTTAAATCGCGACGACTGAGCACGGGCCCTAAGCAACCAAGCAACCAAGCAGCCAGCAACAAAGAATGCTCTTGAAGGTGTAATCGATAAGAGTTCTACGTTTCTTTAATTGATTAAGGTTATAAGAGCTTGGGGAATAAGACGATGGCAGTTCCAAAGCGGAGCAGCGTGACGAAATAAGAAAAAAGAGAAGTGTCGTAGCCTGCAGCGTGGTGATGGAAGCAGTATGGATCAGACGAACTGTTTAGTAGACCGAGTGGACATTCAGGCGCCACGGTGGCGAGATGTTAACTACCTCACCTGTTATGCAGGAGGTCGTTGGTTCGATCCCGACTGATGCCTGTATATTAGGAGTTTGCATGTTCTCCCCATGGTCACATGGATTTTTCTCCGGGTCCTCTGATTTTTCCCTCCACATTTAGAAAGATGCGTGTAAGAGTCCGTGGCTGCTATAAATGTCCACATGATAAGCCGATTCATTGAGCTATTATTTGTGGTCAGGTGGCTTCTGAAAAAGAGCTACATAGCTCAGTGGGCCTTACCTGGTAAAATAAAAAATAGTTTAGTAATCACCGTAGTAGCAATAAGACTTTCTTCGTTTTCAAATTGCCCTTCATTTAAAAGCATCCATCTACATACAGGGATGGTGTGTATCCAACTAATGTATCATTGCAATATATAAAATTATTGTGATGTGTTTGAATTGCTGGTATTTAGTTGCTGGTAATTCTCCCCAAAACGCAAACAGTTGTCTGTTTAACACGTGAGCTTTCGCGACCAATATCCATAATAAAGGTTTTTGTTTGATTAGATCGCGTAAATATAAACGCGTCATTAACCCACGACCATCCGACACGGCCAACTCGTAAGGTTTGTCACGTGAACAAAACGTACTTGAGCACACCGGTGCGTGTGAGAGTAAACCCACAACATTGACAATTTGAGTACGACGTTTCGCTGGTGATTACAACCAGCGTCATCAGGAAATTTGCTGGAATTGTGAAGACCTCCCGTATACATCTTAAATCGAGGAGTAAAGCCTATCGGGCGTGAAGACCAGAGCGGCGGGGGTTAATGTCGTCATTGTGTTCTGCGACCTGACTGGCGAGACGTTTCCCCCCCCCCCCCCCACTGGGTGGCGATTTCGCACGTGAGATGGCAGGCATGGCCAAACACCCACAGGGGGCTGCCTCTCAGTCAGGCGCTTGAATGCGTAAGTTGAATTTCTTTCGCACCGTACGTAGCCAACCGTGCTAATCGGATGTGCCTAAATCTGCGCATCTTCACGCGAATAGGTGTGATTACAATGTATTATTTTGCTTATGATGCACGTGCATGCGTCATATTATGCGTGCAAGAATTTGTCGTGTTCCAGGGGTGACTCGTAGATCAGAGTGCTCCGCTGGTGAGAATCCTGGGTTTGAATACAGGCAGCCACCTGTGATCAAACCGGGTCCTCAAGTAAAGCGAGTTGATGGACTCGGCCTGTTCGTCAACGACCGCACGAAAAAACCCATCGTATTTTTACTCGGTCCGACACTTCATTTGTCGTGTCCATCATTCCAGCTTAGATAAATGACGACCATTTTTACGAGCGCAGTGCCGCGCTATGGTGCTTATATCATCAGCTGGGCATGGCACCTCTCTAACAGACGACACTGGATTGGATGAGCGAGGAGGCTTCGTCTGCCCCTTCACCGCAGACGCAGTTCGTGTTCCGAGCCTGGTCGAGACGGCCCCACCTCCCAGGGTTTGCTTTGCAGCGGCTGACACCTGTCCGGAGGCGGTTCAGGCATTGTCAGATTTGCCCGTGGTCTTCCTGATCTTGATCTTCTATTTACATAGCGCCTTCCCATGCCGAGACGTCTGTGAGTTGCAGGGTGGCTGTCCCGTTCATCTCTGAATCTTGGAACGTGCAAGCGGCTCGGCGTTAATCTTATTTAGAGGGGCATAGCGCCGTTGTTTCTAAAGACATTGTACTCACCGCAGAGAACTCTAGCGACACAACCGCACGCTACGATAGTTGGCGCTTTACTGTGCCACACGCCCTCCCGCATGGCCTTGTGGGAGCCTCGGTACCGATACAGTGATTTATTTCCTTCCGGTTTCGTTTTGATGATGCACATGTACGTCATCGGAATGGAATTGGAAGAAAAACTGATGACTTACACATTCGTTATCGGAACGGGAAAGGGTTAATAGCCACCGATGTTGCTCGCAGTTGTGCGTTCCACTGTCGGAGCCACAAGCTCTCCGGAGATGAGAGGTTCCGTGGTAGTGGTGAAACTACTGTCAATTCCAACTCTTGAGAATGAAAAATATTACATTTTAGAGTGATGTGTGATGCCCGTGACTGTCATGTCGCATGGCATGTGGGGAAGTGCTGCTCTCTACTGTGTTGACCAGAGGTCACTTGAAGGGACCTCAGTGATAACTCTGATATCTGCTTCCATGGGCTGGGACCTCGGTGATAACTCTGGCATCTGCTTCCATGGGCTGGGACCTCAGTGATAACTCTGGCATCTGCTTCCATGGGCTGGGACCTCAGTGATAACTCTGGCATCTGCTTCCATGGGCTGGGACCTCGGTGATAACTCTGGTATCTGCTTCCATGGCCTGAGACCTCGGTGATAACTCTGGCATCTGCTTCCATGGCCTGGGACCTCAGTGATAACTCTGGCATCTGCTTCCATAGGCTGGGACCTCAGTGATAACTCTGGCATCTGCTTCCATGGGCTGGGGCCTCAGTGATTACTCTGGTATCTGCTTCCATGGGCTGGGACCTCAGTGATAACTCTGGTATCTGCTTCCATGGGCTGGGACCTCAGTGATAACTCTGGCATCTGCTTCCATGGCCTGGGACCTCAGTGATAACTCTGGTATCTGCTTCCATAGGCTGGGACCTCAGTGATAACTCTGGCATCTGCTTCCATGGGCTGGGACCTAAGTGATAACTCTGGTATCTGCTTCGATGGGCTGGGACCTCAGTGATAACTCTGGTATCTGCTTCCATGGGCTGGCTTCAAATACAAATTGTACTATTTTTATAGAGCTCCAACTGTATACATCTCATGACGTGAGACACCGCTGGCACGATGAAGGTAAAATTGATTGCCTTCCAAATCATCCGTACGTGTAGCTGGTTCATGGCAGCCCAGCACCTGCTAATAGGTTCTGCATGCACCTCATTGGCCAAAAAATAATGTTCTTCAACTGACAGCGAATTGAGGCAATTCATCAAGTTGAGGAAGAGATTAATCGTTTTTTTTTCTTGCTAAGGCAGTGTGTTCCATCTGTGCCCGCTGTGGTACATACATTGTAGGGGCTTGCGATAAGGCTGTCATTCAATATTGTGGACCGGATGCAATTCTTTATATATTTTGTAAAGACATTTTTTTCTACTCATTTCACGTCGTTGCTGAAGAAATGTTGGTTCACGAGATTGACACGGTTTTTTGTTATTTTACAATGCAAAGGAATCCAATTAAGCCGACGTTTATGAACCACAGTCGTGCAAGCGAAACGCAACATGTCTGTCAATGCAAAACATTTCCATTCATGAACTATACCCGGCGATCCGTAAAATGACGACTGCGTACCACAGCGGGTGTAAATGTCACGCTCATAATGTATCAAGAGCAAGGGCCGTGGATATGCACGAGGCCGATATTCCAGCACTAGGGTCGAGCGTTCGTGGATCACACACAAAATGTTGTGAAACTCCCTTCTCGTGTGCATTGAGCTCCCATAGTCTGGCCTGCTAGAAGGCAGTAGTACATTAAAGTGCGGACTAAAATCATCTGTCCCGCCTCTATGGGATACGGTGTTGCTCCCTCGCACGAATGGGGTTTTCTCTCGTGTATAAACACTCATTAATTGGCTGAAAACATCGAAATATATCACCGAACCTCCAGTGTGCAGCATTGTGAGATGCAGTGGGCATGAACGACGTCACTGCATAAAACACTCATTGTTACCTGAATTTTTTAAACAATGTGATTGTGATACTGCGTACGTTTATGGAGTCGTGAGAGGAATTGATTCATAATCTGTCTGTGTGTGTGTAGTGGTGCAGGTGATTATGCTTTGGAAGCGGGCAGGCAATTGATGTTGGATGAGAATGGGAGTACTCTAAGTAAGAATACTGCAGGAACGCCGGTAGGTTTACAGTCCTCTGCTGGTTTGAGCGCCTCCCATGCTGCGTGAGTCATGGGGGCTGTTGGACCATTATTCACCAGTGCGTGCGTGTTTGTTAAGATGGGATGGGAGTACAGGGAGACACGAGCATCTATTTTACTCTGTTGGTGCGTCCACCCACTCCCCCCCCCCCCCGCATTTATTTAACTTTCTCTATCGGTGCAATGTCTTGAGATGAAACCGTTTGTAAATACTGCAGTGTTTAACCCGTGCGTCAGAAGATGGCTTGCAAAGATATATTTCACGTCTTTCAAGCGTTCTTTTATTTTTTATCCTCGTCACATTGAAAATCGCACTTTCCCAAATGCTCTACTATGAGATTGTCCCGTGATATCAAACCGATAGAAACGTTTTCAGTCGCAGAGCTGAGATTTAACCAAGGCAAAAATCAATCTAAGATGTGTTCTTTATGTGTGCAGTCATTGGTGACTGAGCTGAGATCATGAACTCGCTACACTGGAGAGCCCAGTTTAATCATGGTTCGCTGCCAAGATTCAAACCCAGGATATGTCATCGGTGCCAGCTCAGTGCTCGAGAGCTTGGAGCCACCTGTTTATGTTTTTGTTTGTTGCGGTTGCACCCGATTCAAGAGCCGAATGGCTCACAGGGCTATACCTAATAAATGGAACTGAACTGAACTGAACCTGGCTCCCACATGTTTTATATTAAAATATACTTTTCACATGTAACTCGAATGCTGTCGCCTCTTAATGTATGCACTACGTATGCACGTTGAACTTCTTTCGTACGCATCCCACCGTGCCGTGCTTGAAACACGACTTTAAATAAATGACTGTCGTGCCCCTCATTGTTGTCATTGTCACACGGGCGTGAGTGAATGCATCACGGAGAATACTTGTACTGGGTTTCTGCTCTTGCATGGAAAACGTGTGCACGTTTTGTAGCCTAAGGAGTATGCCGCAGACTTTACTCAGGGGCAATGTCTTACTCGACGGATGATTTATTGACAGTGATACATAAACCTTTATGTGGTGGCAGTCAGCGATGTAGACTTGCACACACCCACAGTGTAATAGGGTAGACGACGTGAAGGTCCTTCCAGAAATGCTAATTAAAAAAAACCTGTTATTTTTAAACTTTTTTTTTCAGAAATGCATGTTATGCATCGATTCTGAAAGTGGATAGTCCAAGCAATGTTTTTTCTGACATTTTTTCGGAGAGTGTGGTTAC